CAGATAATAATTCTGATTCATTGCCTGACAATATTATCTCTACATTTCCGGCGTTATTGCTAAATTCAGAAGGATAGTTTGATGAAATTCCACCAGTAAGTAATGCTAACATACTTTGTGGTATAGATTCCTGTTTAATTTTTTGTTTAATATCATACAATATTGTTGTGGAACATTGAAACATTTCCATGCAATAATAGAATGGTTCTAAGATGAGTCCACCTGGCTCAGAGGGTTCTAAATATGTTTTGTTGAACACTAGATCCTTAACAAGCTCTTCTTCAATTTTATAAAGATCATAAATAATCTCCTTGCCTTTACCAACATCAAGAAGGCATTGACTATATTTTAACAATTTTGGATTCCATTCATAGTCTATAAGATTAGCTTGTCTAGCATCTTCAAGTCGTACAGATTTGATGAGATATGGATTATTTGCGTCCGATCCTTTTTGATTCTCAATAAATTTCAATGAATGGCACGTTCCAAGTTTAATACTCATAACATCGCGTAGGAATCTGTTTTGAATATCGACTAGATATTCCAACGCCGCACATAAAAATAGGCCGGCATCCTTTCCTTCTACAAGACCAAAAACAATTTGACAATCCAAATTCATTATGGGCTTATTTGTAGGTAAATCATGACATTGATATCTTTCTATGAGTGGCATCATGGCATTCCAGGATTCTGCAAAATTATCAAATGCTGCTTTAAGAGAATGTTGAAGTTCTCCATGTTCGGCAATGAACTTACGGAATGTCATATTTAATGCATCATTTCGTTTAATGCGATAGTTAAGTCGCATGGAAAGTATACGTGAAAATTTAACTAAGTGATATATATGTTTCAGGTGTGGTATAAGTTTCTCGTATTTGAAGTAGATTGAGATAAATGGAAAATGTTTGCAAAAGTTTTCATTATTTAAGTAAAATACACGAAAGTCGGCAAGACTTGCATTCCTAATATGTCTCCATAGTTTAGGCAATCGTTTTGCGCTATAACTATCATCAAATACCAAAGTTTCATTTATCTCTGCTTCAAAAACTGTGGTTTTTTTCTTCCTCTCGTCTTTTGCTTTTTGGAGTTTATTACGCATGTCCATTGAGGCAGCTGCAGGATTTCTAGCCCGATTGTTAACATATCGTGTGGTAAATCGACCTTCCCAAGTCATTCGTGCTTGCGTTGTTGATAATGTAGGAGTTGAAAATTGTTTATCTTCAGACATCGAATGAAGTATGTCATGTATTATTAAAGCTAAATCCTCATCGTTACAGTTTAATGTAGTCTTTAATACATCCCAATCTTTATTGATATGATCCATACAATGTGCAATAGGGTCAGAAATATTTTTAAGGAACGTTTGAGAATACGGGGAGACGGCAATGAGAGCATGCATGAGAAGATGCAAAATCCTGTATGAAGAAGAAGTCATTTCACGAACGCTTTTGCTTTGATCTAATGAGCCTGATTCCATTATATAGCCTCTTTTATCACTATTAGTGATGACATTTTGAACATCGCCTGGGCTTAATCTTGTTTGACCCTCTGCTGCTTTATGATGTTCTCCACCAATTGTTGTACCGCATTTTGGGCATCTTCGAGATTGCATAGTTCCACCACATTCACCAACGACATATTTAAATCCACAAACACATAGGTACCTAAGTACGTACGTATATGTTGATAAAAGTGAATAAGACATCAATAGTAAAGATAATTGCAATAATGTGGTAACTTACCATGTAAATCCCTTAAGAGCACTCATTAATATTGCTTCCTCATCCGATGGACAAGTAAGTATATAAGTATTGTCAACATCTTGAAGTTTGTGAAGGTACATTGTTAATGGTGAATAATTAGATGGAAGTGATGCATGAACTGCAAGCGTATGAATAATAACCAAACGAATTAATAAATTTTTATTGTTAATCTTTGGATGAATTCCTAAAATAGGATGATCATTAGCTAAAAGTCTTATTGTGAGCTGTCTATAGGCTGGCGATAAATTAATCGATTCCAAAAATAATCTTAAATCAGTAATCATCTCGTTTTCATTTTCATTCAAGTTGCGCACTGCATTAATTGAAAGAAAACGTTCTACAATAACCCCGACAAATGCAATTCGTAAATTAGAATTGCTAGTTGATGAAAGTTTCATCAACAAACTATTTAACTGAGATCCGCTCAAAGAATCATCCGCATCTTCATATTCATCAAGCAAAGAGTAGGGATTAAAAGGTAATCGAGAATCGTTATCTTTATTCCATGGTAAATCAGATAGCCATGGTAGAGTTTCTTTCTGGAGATTATAAAATTGTTTAAGTTCATTCATTGATAAACCACGAGCTCGCAAATTCTTGAGGAAATAGAACTTGAGTGATTGAACTTGTGGGTGTCGACTCTGCATCAAATCATTCAGTTCAACCATGAATTTGTTTGAATGTATAAAATTAAAATCGAACGACTCATGCAAAACATTTTCTAAAGTTGTTGGCCAAAATCTATTTATAAATTGTTTTAATAGAGCTATAGCACAAACAAGCTGTAATGGTTTAACATTAGGAGAACACAAAGCTTTGCAAGCGTCTTTGAATAATCCTTTAAGTTTATCAAATCCTACATTAGAAAAAATTTCTTTTTGAATAACATCGCTGAATAATGCTGCTAGTTGCGAATCACACGAGTTCTTTTCTAATTGTTTATTTATTACGTTGAGTCTTGGTGAGAAATCCAATACTTTATTTGCATTCCTGATTATAGCTGAGAATGGTTCTTTTTCTTCTAAACGAAATATGCAAAGTACTATAAAGGCTGTAAATGGTAATGGCTGAGCTTGTTCAAACAACCTTTCATAAAGACGCAAGCGAGTAGGCGATTCAAGAGGAATAATGTCTAAAATTCGTAACGCAAAGTTTTGCCTTGCAACGGTATTCAAATATGTGCCTTTTGTGTTAAAGAAGTCAAAAATGTAATCAATGAACTGTTTATCCGAAATACCATTGTTACGTCCAATGTTAATAACCGTCAAGAGATGGTTATAAGAAATTATTTGCTTTGAAACGAGATCATTGCATATATTTAAAAGTTGAAGAGAGAGAGATAAAGGACCCGTTGAGAGTTCAGAACAAAGAATAAGTATCTGAGAGGCCTCAAGCTGCCATTGTTCAAATTGTGTATTGTTACTTATCGTACGAACACGATCCAGTGTTAACTGAGAAGCTATTTCCGGGAGATTCTTTGTAAAAGCCTCAAAATTGTCACTTATATCATTTTCTAATTCGTTTATAATTGAAGGACAAAGCTTAACTAATTGCAATTCTGTTAATATTATATCTGATTTTGCCCACCAATACGTATGAAGTCTTATAGGATTTAGGACCAATTTTTTACCCAAACGTCGAAGTAATAAAAGGTTGATAATGTTAAGGTTTTCGGCGTTTCCATTATTAGAAGAGATGAAAGTTAGGAAATCTTTGTGGTATAAATAAGATGCAATTTGGGATGGCGCATTTTTCAGTGCAGGAATTTTTGATATAATATTCTGAAATCTTTCAAAGCAATCAGCAAGTACATTAACTGATAAATCTCCCGTATTATTGTCGATATTATTTTTATCTTCTTTAAGTA